CTTAGGGTTCAGATCCCTCTTCAGCAAGGCTTTATATTATCTCGAGAGCTGTAATCAAACAAGTGATTGTCATACACAGAGCCTGGGGTAGATTTAGCAGAAAGAGCTTTTGGGTATCATCGGTGAGGAGTTCTTCTTCACCTGTTTGTTATTCTAGCCTGGGGGCCTCTGATGTGCCTATAGTGTATTATCCGGATTTTCAGTGTCGACGAGAACGTTTTAAAGACTGTAGAGGGAAGACAAACGCTTTTGACATTTGTCTCCATATCAACAAGTTAAAGTCCGCGTGCTGAGCAAGATCATGAATCAGCTCAGTTAAAGGGATATTCCGGCGTAAAATTAAGTTAGGGTCATACACACCGTAACACTGAGTTAGACACCCCATAGAGAGATTAATGTTGCCGACCGCTTGTTTCTCTAGTTATACCAAAAACATTAGTAACGACCACAAATAGCAATACAGAGAGCCACATGCTCAATCAAAATGCCACCCTATAGCCACAAATAATGCTCAGAACCCACGCGAGTCCATTACCGCAGCAGGATGATAGAGCTCAAGGAAGAACATACATGATCATCTATGATCAGGAAGAACATTTATGATCATTTCTCTATCATTTTCTTTTTAGTAATAATCATCATATTTATCATTTTGCACTGCAGACACGGTAGTTCTTTTGCCTTAGCGTCTTGGTGTTATTGCATTTCCTTGAGGAAATGATCATAAATGTTCTTCCTTGAGCTGCGTCACCCCGCAGCAGTCGATAGACTTACTTGGAGGTCTCCGTACAAACAAGAGGCTGCTGGAAGAGAGTAGGTGAGTTGTGTTTAGTCTCTTTGCTAAAGAAATTAGGCAAAGTTAAAAAGATGTTTGGTGGCTAGTACTAAGGCTGTGACCCTATATGTACTGTTGATGAAGTTAGGTGCTGTTCTGAGCATTATTTGTGGCTATAGAGTGGTGTTTTGGTTGAGCGTGTGGCTCCTGGGACTGCTGTGTATTGCTATATGCAGTCGTTACTAAAATTGGTATAACTACAGAAGCAAGCGGTCGTCAGCAACATTCATCTCTCGATGAGGTGTCTAACTCACTGTTACGGTGTGTTTGACCCTAACTTAATGTTACGCCGGAATATCCCTTTAACAGATTTAGTGTTTGATATTTTGAATAAACAGGTTAAGGGATGTATGCAATGAAACAGGAAGTCATACTTTTTGCAATCTGACATTTAGTTTTAGTTGAAGGACAGACTTGGGAAAAGAAGGAACCAAAGGAGGAACAATTGAAGTCATTTGATCTGTTGCCTCACATTTCTCTATAAAACTTACCCTGTAAAAACTTTTATTGTTTTTCAGTTTTCAAAAGTAACTGAGAATGGTTTTACTCACATGGATGGGGTGAAACCTGTGAGCTACTTCAACTCAAACTGCTGCACTAATTTCACGTGCTGTCTTATTCTCACGATGGCCTGACAAAGTGACCTCTCCAAATCAGGCGGTGTATTTACGGTGTGAGTATTCCCGTCTCTGCTGCGGCTTTGTCAAGGCCACTGCTGCCCTGCAATCAAACTTTCAACCCCACCTCCTCTGCAAGAAAAAGTGAGGCTCAGATCAGACAGACAGCAAACACAAACAGTGTTCTGCTGCTGATCAATACAGCAGGATCTGACTTCAAAAAACTCTTTTTAAATGGGTCAGGTATTAAAAATGTACAAGTTTGGGAGATTCACTGATTTAACAATGCTGTATTGTCAGCACAGAATTACTGATTGGTTAAAACAAATCAGATATTTTCAACTATGATGGTCTTTTGTGAAGTGTAAGTTGTTGTTGTGCAGCACCAGCCAGGGCTGTAGCTCCTGCTTGCGAGGCTACTTCCAATATGATTTAATGCTCAACACAAGCACAGACGACAGATGGCAGCTCACAGCGTGGCATATTTTGGCAGGGTTCTGATCTAGAAAATAGAGATAACAAATCATATATACTGTGTTAGATTATGGAAGATCACCACCTGACTGGAGGGAACACAGGCTTGTTGATGTGAACAGGCCAGTGGTGCTAGTTCTGCTATTGTTAATGCAACTCAGTAAACTAAATTCATAAAGTTAACCTGCAAACTTCATGATCGTGTGTTGAACTGTGAATGACTTGTACTCAGCCTGAACTGTGTTGTGTTTTCTTACTTTAAGACTTGGAAATCAGTCACTTCATCGCATCTCTACTTAATCTATCCAACAAAACTACTTCAGAAGAATTAGCAATCAATCTTCAATCAATCTTTATTTATAAAGCACCAATTTACAAGCATTATTTCATTTCATTTTTATTTTATTTTATTTTATTTTATTTATTTTTTTATTCCACTTTATCATTTATATTACCATCATTATTATTTTATTATAATTTTATTATTATTATTAATATCCTCTTTTATATTTACTAGCCTGTTTCCTGCCCTCCTTTTCTATTTCATTTTATGTTTTTATTTTGGTCCTCATGGTCCCATTTATTTTGCAGGGTTCTTGTATTGCCTGGGTTTCTTACAAAAAATGAAACAGGCCTACAACTTAGAGGCCTGTTTTTAACTGAGCTTTTGTTTTTATGTGTTTTTATTTTCATGTACTGATGTTCTGTGCTTGCAACTGTTGTCAAAGCACTTTGTAAACTTCTGTTTTTAAAGGTGCTGTATACATAAAGTTATCATTATTATTATTATCATCATCATCATCATCATCATCATCATCATCATCATCATCATCATCATCATTATCATCATCATCATCATTATTATTATTATTATTATTATTATTATTATTATTATTATTATTATCACTATCATTATTATGGGCGGCAGTGGCTCAGGAGGTAGAGCAGTCAGCCAATAACCAGAAGGTTGGCGGTACGAACCCTGCCCTTTCCCTAGTCTGTCTGTTGTGTCCTTGGGCAAGACACTTAACACACCTTGCTCCCAGTGTGTGTCCTCCACTGGTGTATGATTGTGAGTGGACCCGTAGGTGCAAACTGGCAGCCACATTTCACAGCCACAAAAAAGCAGGTCTAGACCATACTCTATTTACAAGTGAGATTGATGCATGTAGTTCAAGCAGCTGGAAAGCAGGCAGGTCCACATTAGCAAAGCGTCTGCAGCAGCAATCCAGAGGAATCTACGGCATGATGGAGCTCAGGGACTCCCAGAAAAGACTGTGTATTAGTGACTCTAATGGGATATGATGATTAAAAGTTGATGATATAGGCAGAAGGAGGATGGAGAAGGAGAGAAAGGTGCTTAATGTGCCAGTACCCCCAGCAGTCTGAGAGTATAGAAGATTGGCCAAGCCCAAAAGATGAGCTTTATCCACAAGGACGGTCTTGAGCCGACTCTTAAAGGTAGAGAAGGCATCAAACAGACCCCTCAAGAGACTTTAGATATGATCAGTAGGCCTGCACGTTGGGTAATAGGAAGGGTGATAGGGAACTACGGGCTCTTTAAGATATGAAGAGCGTTGAAGGTCAGGAGAAGAATTTAAAATTCCACATTAAATTTAATGGGAAGCCAGTGCCGAGGAGCTAATGCATCGGAGACGTGATCTCCTCTCCTGGTTCTGGTCAGTATTCAGGCAGCAGCATTTTGGAACTATCTGCTGGTTCTCGAGCAAAAGTGTAGCCGTCTTTGCCTCAGAACGACATTTATGTAAATAAAAAACAGACTAAAATCACTTTAATTGACCTCTTCTTAATCGACCTCTGCCTAATACAGCTATGAGCAACTGGAAATTAACTTCAACATCACACCCGAGGTCGTTTAGGAAATAACCGTGCTGTTCCAAAGGAGAGACCTTTGAGAGCTGTGTGTGAAACTAGTCAGCGGGTTCAGGCTGAGTAAAACAGACAGACTTTTACAGGGTCTGTTTCTAAGTTAGAGGAAACTGCATCAAATCAGACTGTAAAGGTCAAAGAAGTTTAAATATCTTCAGGGGGTTTCAGAGGGGTTGTACTTCTTTCTTCATGCATAAATAACTTATCTGTTGTTTTGTTAGGCTGCGGTGAAATCTGTGGTGAGTGGGTGATCTTGTCAGAGAGTTACAAAGTGTAAAACAGACCAAAGACTCCACTTTTTACTCTCTGCGGTGCTGAACACAACATCGCGCAGGAGCTGTACACACTACTGAATGCCTTTACTCAAAGTGATGCCTTGTGCATCGCAATTACCCACACACAGCCCTGCATCAGACCGTGAGCTGACTTTTATGTTCATGTGAATGCGGGCCGCAACACCAGCCGATGACAGCTTAATTCCCGGGATGGGCCCCCCTAAACCCCCCCTGCTGAGGCCCCGCCGTTTGTGTGAGCTGACAGACGGAGATCAGACCGAGGAGAGACGAGTGGGAACCCTCCAAGTGTACTCAGGTTTCTGGGCACTGTGAAAAGATTTGTCCAGGCCATTCAGATCTGACAGAGTTTCCCATGTTCTGCACTAAAGTGTTTGGAAAATCTATCTTTCTCATCTGTGCACACAAAGCTGATAAAGCTGATGTGGTGTTTTTTTATTTTGGTTCCTCAAATAAAAGAAAAAAAAATACAGCCTCGGTGGTAAACTTTTTCTCAAATAACGGGAAAAGTGGTTCCATCCAATTACTGTGAAAAATCAGGAAGCAGGTAAACACCGGAGAAAAAATAGAAACAAGGGTTGAGAGAGGGGAAGGGGGATGAAATGAGCTTGAAAGAGGGGTGACCTCAGTTGAAAAGGGGCTGGGTAATCGAGGTTTTGGGTCGACATGAACGCTTGAGGTAAAAGGGAGGCCAGAGGGATCAGTCTAAGAAGGATTAGGGGACCTGGGGAAAGGAGGTTGTATCACTCTGATAGAGGTCAAAGCGTGCAGCAGTCGAGGAAACAGGCGAGGCTCGGGAGCGCTGTTTTTGAACATCTAATTTTTGGGAGAAGGGCTGTTTCTGAACACGTACCCGGGGAATGTGATTAATGCGATGTTGACCTTGTGAAGATGACAGTGGGCAAACCTCTCCTGGGCGCTGAAATGACTCCTATGTTGTTCTTTTTGCTCCTGCTGATGAGTAACGCCGGGTCAGTCTCAGCGCAGTTTAACGGATACAACTGTGATGCAAACCACCACAGCAGGTTTCCTGGTGAGAGTAAGACACGGAAAACAGCGTCTAATGACAGTCTGTACACTTGACTATACAGTAACAGATGAAGGGTACTTTAAGAGTGGATATATGAAAGAATGAGTACACATACACAAAGTACAAGTATATAAGTGAAACTGACACTGTGTCAATGAGTTTTATGTGCTTTAAACTTCATTTAATCAACATAAAAACAAATTAACTATTAAAGTAAAATCTACTGTATATTGTTTTATGCAACCAAGCCTTTATTTACTGTTTTTTACCAGTTATAAAGTAAAGCAGGATATTATTTTCAAAGTCATTAACAAGAACAGCACATCTTCTACTTTATGTCTGCATATGACTTTATTAGGAGGTGTTTTTAGCATCTATAACTATGATGCTTGATACAAAATCAGGCTTATGATCAAGGAAAATGCCACTTAAGTGCGGTATTTTTTTATAACAAGAAATAAGTGATTTAATTATTATTTTTTTAAACCTTTTCTGCTAGCATATTGACTCAATTTCAACTTCTTAAAGTAATTAACATAAAAAAGGGGATAAAAGGTAAGTATGCAGCTGGGAACTGGACACTGTTGGAGGCACTATTTTCATGTTTTTGTGTTTTTTAAGGATATTTGATCAACTGAACATTAAAGGGAGTTAATATGTAAAACATACACAGTTCTAGACTGATTCTAGATTTGATTGCTTTTTACACTTAAAAGCAGAAATTTTACTTTTTCAACCATTATGATTTTAAAGAAAAGAAACCTGAGTTAAAATTACACTTTTGAACAGCAGATTATCTGCACTTACCTGCTTTAAGACAGTTTTTAACACTCACAGAAATAGATTGATTTAATATGAAACTTCATCCCTCACCTATGTCAATTTAAAGATAAAGACATAGAAGTGCTCATCGTCAGACATCTCTCTTTTAACGCCTGGCAGACTTGCGATTGAAGTTCTATGTCTCTCACTTTTGCAGCCGAGCTTGTGATGAAGCTACCTTGAATTTAAAGTCTTACTGCTGTATTTCAATCACAGAGAGTTTTTTTTTTTCCTTCTCGGAAACTGGATTTCATTGCGCTACAAATCTGCAGGGTTTCAGTCCTGCCATCAAATCAGGAACTATTTGACCCTGTGATGTCTGCAAATGCTGGGAAGATAAAGGGGCAGCTGTGCTCTGGGTCACAAAAACCTGGAGTCTGTGAAACATGCAAACTTTGGCCTATAATATTCTTTCCTGGATGTCAGTTGCATTTGTTTGTTTCAGTTTAATTTTGGCTTACTTTTGTCTTTATGGCATTTCACCTATAAGTCTGGTCCTGCTGAAGGTTTCTACCTGCTTATAAAAAGTCCTTCCCCACCACAGCTGTAACTTTTTGTAAAGCCTTCTCTGTTTCTTCCTGCTTCTCCAGGTGAGCGAGACATCAATGTGTACTGTGGGGTTCAAACCATCACTTTAAAGATAAATTTCTGCCCCGTGCTCTTCTCCGGCTACACGGACGCAGATTTGGCCCTCAACGGTCACCACGGTGACTCCCAATGCCGGGGCTTCATCAACAACAACACCTTCCCCACGGCGGTCCTGTTCAGCATCAGTCTAAGCACTCTGGAGGCCTGCGGGAACAGCCTGGTGGTGAGGAATACACAAATCAGCAGACAGGGTTTTGATCAAATCAATGAGCCGCCTCATCATGCTGCTTATTAACTCATGTGAGAGCAAGGTGACACGGCTGAGATGTTTCCCTCTGCAGGTCAGCACAGCTTACGGTGCCAACGCCTACGGGAACATGTCTCTGGTACAAATTGGGAATGTCTCCGGCTATATCGACACGCCTGACCCTCCGACTATAATCAGCTACCTGCCCGGTTTGTTGTATAAATTCAGCTGCAGCTACCCACTGGAATACCTGGTCAATAACTCACAGTTGGCATCGTAAGTTGCAGCTGAAATGAAAAGCCTTAAGAAACCTTACACAGTTTGACTTCAGAGGAGGACTTTTAAATTCAATTAGGAGCTAATTAAAATTTGTTTATTGTTCTGCTAAACCACACTGACAATTAAACGCCTGCTTTAAAAAACGAGTGAGTCTGTGCTCAGATATATTCTTCGAGCCATTTGTTTTAAATTATACATAATTGAATGCAAATTTATATGCAAACACTCCCCTGGACTAACCGTCTAAATGCATAAAATAAATCTCCATTAGCTGTATCATTATACTATATGAAATCTTAATATGCATTCAGGAAACATCTGCAAAGGGAAAACAGGAGTTCAAATCTATGTGTTGATTTTTTTAAATACTTCTCTTACAGCTCCTCTGCTGCTGTGTCTGTCAAGGACAGCAACGGTACATTTGTAAGCACGTTGAGCATGATCCTGTACAACGTGAGTATACGGCTGTGTTCAACTTTTGACCTGCACTTTTTGATGCAATGCAAGGAACTGAAGCACTTTCAAGTCACAAAAGTCTACCACTAAAAATAGTCTCAAACAAATGTAACTTCAATGCGTATTGGAGTAAATTCGTGCAAAAACTACGTAGCGTTTTAGGGGTGTAGGTTTGTTCCAAAATATATATGGCTTGATGCTTTAAAGGCTCCTGTAGTGTTGTTGCAGTTTTGGAAAATACTTCCTTTTGTTTGCACTTTCACCTTTTTGTGCACAGGATTCAACCTACAATCAACCTCTCTCTATCCCAATGGCCGGGCTGGCGTTGAAAACCAGAGTGTTTGCAGCCGTCAAAGCCACAAACTTGGACAAACGGTACCAGATCAAGTCTTTCTTTTCAACTCTGTGCATTCATTCTCAGATGTTATAAATCTTTTGCTTACAGAGCCGAGCCTTTCCCACTTTCTTTTTCGATTTTTAGTCTTTTTTGCTGACATTCATTAAGCCATTATATTATTACTCTACATGAAGGCGCCAGACAGCGTCAGAGAAAGGCCTGATCCCTGCTTTCCCATGTGTGGTTAGATCTCTATCCTCCATCCCGCCTTACAGTGCTGTCCCTCTGCAGGTGGAACATCTTGATGGACTACTGTTATGCGACCCCCTCAGGGAATCCTAATGATGAACTCCGCTATGACCTTTTCTTCGGGTAATCTCACTTTTTTCCTGGAGAAATGATGAGTTGATAAACCACAAAAGACAGTCATTACCTATTCAGTCTCCCGCAGCGGCTGATCCCCCTTTTGAATGCTACTTTTTCTTCTCAATGACTGCTTAAGAGCACGTGGAGACATCAAATCTGACATTTCAGCATGTGGACTTATATGTGTGTGTGTTACTTTTGTCACACAGCTGCTACAAAGACCCACAGACTACAGTTTTTGAGAATGGTAAGAGCCAGATGGGACGATTCTCTTTTGAGGTTTTCCGTTTTGTGAAACACAGACATCAAAAGATGTCCACGGTGTTTCTGCACTGCGTCACCAAGCTGTGCCGGGCAGATGATTGCATCATGCTAATACCTGTAAGTGTAAGATGACCAGTTTATGACTCCACAAGTGTGTGCACTCATAACAACAATGGCTGAGTCTGATTCTGTGATCTGCAGATTTGTGGGCGACGGCGTAAACGAGACGTAGAGGAGAGCGTTGAATCTCCTCCAGCAACATCCGGGAATGCCGTCATTACTGCTGGACCGATCATCACCAGGAGTGGTATGAACCAAAAACAGACTGTTTGAGGGATGATTTGACTTTTTTGGGAAGTATACAGTAGTTATTCACTGTCTTGTCCATGTAGATTCTCATTCACTCAGGTCATGGTTATCTCAAAGACTCCGAAATCAGGCAACTCTACACAGTCCAGTTGCCTGATTTTAGAGTCTTCGAGATATTCACTGTCCTACTCCTCAAGTGAAGTTATCTCCAGGCTAAGTTAGTTTAGCTTCGCATAAGTTCTGAAAACAAACAAAATGTTCTGGACGAAAATCTTAAATTTCACAAATTCAGCAAATATAGGGCCAGTATAATGTTTATCGTCACACCTTCAGAATTGACACATTCTTTGTTGATGATATCATCAATCAAAAGGAATATTTTTTGCACTTGGAGTCAGACCCCCCTTTGTAGTCATAACAACAAGCTAATGCACCTGGTTGCATGAACACTAAACTGGTTCAGTCATAATTTATACATGAGCTTTATTTTGTTATTTGAAATCATGTAACTTGACTTTAGGTGTCCCACAAAATACAACCCTTTACCATCTTGTTTAACTCATCAATCTCAACAACCAGCCTATGTCCCCTTACTGACTAAATGACTGACTTAATTACTACCACCTTTGTGTAATTCTTAAAAAATACAAAAGTTAATGGTCTTCAGCCTTCAAGATCAAGAGTACCACCTGAAGGTTATATCTCTGGTGACAATTTTCAAGTGCTGTAAAAGCCTCTTCTCCAGGACTCCTTAAAGCCGACTCAGAATGTCCTCTTTGTCTTTAATTGTCATTGAGAGTCATGGTCGGCTTTTAAATACATAACAGTAAAACTGTTAGCCCTGTCCAATGATTAATCACACTTCTAATCTCTTGTGAAAATATAGTTTGCCCTTTGTCACCTTGATCGAATGTTTATTACCCCACTGAGCAATAAACGGCGATAAGACGTCTAGTTTTTTATAGACCTAATTTGCACCATCTGCATTCTGTACATTTTTAGACGTTGCACTTTTAACCATTATTCGATAACTATTTATTTCAAAAAGCAACTGTGAGATTCATAACTGATCTCCAAGTACTTAACCAAAATAATTATGATAGCCGTTGAGCAATATACGGTGTAGTATAGATATAGCCCAGATTTAGATTAAGTCTAAACTTGGTCTAAATTTAGACATCTGAAAAACGTTCATTTTTAGACATGTGGTGGCCTGATTTAATGAAAAGTCATCTGGGCAACATTTAGACGTCTATTAGACCTCTTTTAGACCAAAAAATGCTCAGTGGGACTGAGCTTTATGGGTGCTCTTAAGGGAATTTTGATTATTTTTAACAGGACGTGGCCACTTTTTTCCCTGATTCAAGTCTTTTCCTAAGCTAACTGTCTCCTAAGCAGGCTATACTTCCCAGAAAACTATAAGAACATTACTGTAAAATAAAATCCCACAAAAGTCAATAAACTCTTCCCTTTTTTTTTTCTCCAGATGAAACTCCTGTCAACAACTCCCAACTTGGTAAGCTTCCTTACACCATGTTACAAAATGTGACACAGTTAAAAATACCACCCGTGACTAAGTGAGGGGGTATGGCTATAAAGACAGCTGATACTCCTGGAAATTTGTTGATTCCACCTTTTACGAGAAAAAGAGACCAATCTCGGGTCATGCCTAAGCCTACGTCAAAGAATATTTCTGTTTCAAGTTTCTGCTTTTCCTCACCTTTTTGTCCTCCAGCATCTGGTGCCCCCTCCCACACGGTGAACCCTGTGACCAGTGCGCTGATCTCAGGCGTGGTCATCCTGGGTGGGGTCAGTGTTGGCTTCTTCCTGCTATCGGTCCGCCTCCTGCAGAAGTCTCGCCCTCCTACGACCACGGACTCAGGTGTTTGGAACCCCAGCTTTAAATAAATAAACAACTGTATATTACAAAACCTTGGTACTGACTGTATATGAAAAATACAGTGTATTTATGCATATACGCTCTTCTTTTTTGCATATAAAATGTGTTGAACCTATTTTGTATAATTATTTTAATACCTCCTAATTTTTTATTATGGTCACCTGTTATAGAGTTTATGTGCAAATGCAAACATATGAAACTTTGAAACCCATAATAAAAGACTGCATCAGAAATATAAGTTATTTCATCATTACAAACCAGCATTGTTAGGTAAGCTTGTGTTATATTGGCTAACATTAGCCTCTGGAAGATGATATTTTGGTTTATAAAAGGACAAAAAATAGCTTTTAGAAAACAAATACTTATATATGATGACTTATTTAGTTTAGCCTGATCATATTTCCATTTCCAGTATCACAAATAATAAAGGTAAAACTCCTATAAGCTGCAGAAGATACGTGTTTGTATTGTCATCATTAAAAGAATTGGTACAGTTGAAATAGTTGCTGTTCATGCAAAAGTTTTCTAAATGTCATGGCCACGATGAGGAAGCACTCTCCAGGAAAAATGAACAAATACCGGGTACAATTGATGACTTTAAGAATGACTCTTTCAGTTTTTTTGTGGTTTTATTGATTTTTTATTCCGATGACCTATATAAACGTCTATCGGCAGCAGCTGCTTCTCACGTGTTTGACACTGAGGCTGTTTCTCGTGACCCACGCCTCTCAGCTGCATTCACTGCTCTTTATCACTCTAATCCCTCATTTCAACTGCCATTTAGAGATGAATTCAGCGCCCACAACGAGCGCAGATAACTGAAATGACAGGACTAAATGTGATCATTCCCTCACACGGCTCACGGTGAGGAAAAACTGATCAAACCCGCCTTCTGAAACTGAAAGGAAGATTTAAAGGTGGAGGCCAAGTTTGTGTGATGAATGTGACTCTTATTTAGTGTGCACGTCATGACAGTAGCATGGACACCCCATCCTCCAACTTGACCCTGATCGGCATGTCTCTTCCCAGGTAGCTCACCTGACAAGATTAGGTTTCTGACTGTCACATGCAGTTAGTTAAAATTCAAAATATGCTTAAATTAAAGCAATACTACAAGTTTGATCACATATATATTCCTAATCTCAGAATGATACAGGTTGTACAAGATAAATTGAGCGCTTCCTGCTCAAAATGGCAGAAACTCAACTTTATCCTTCATCCCCCAACTTTATACCCACAAGGTTTGAACTTGATAAACTTTCTCAAGACGATTTTCACATTTTTGGATGAAATTATGGTCTTAATCAGAAGGCATTAGATTAAAGTTCTTCTATTTATTAAATATAGGGTCAACTAGGTCATAATAAACCACCAAACACCTCAGAAGACAAAAGACTCCTCCTCTATTATGTGTGAGGTCCTTGCAGTAAAGAAAGCATACATATTCTTACTTTATTAAGTTTCATAGTAGTATGTGAAGGGGCTGCATTTCACACACAGCCACAAAGCCTTATGGACATTGTTTAAGGATGTAACTTTGAAGGGGCCTGTGTTGGGTTTCATTGTTTGCCTCCAGGTGAGGACCACAGCACCTTGGACAACAAAAACTGAATTGTTTTCACGCAAACTGAGGAAGCCCCACCAAACATGGCATTGACCCTGTTTCTATCCAATCCTAAATCAATGTTGTGACCACACTGTAGTCCTGTACGCCGTATATAAAACAGCCCACTCCCCCTGTTACCCTAAAGCAGCAGAGAGACTGAGGAGGTAAGATCCAGACTAAGATGCAAACCTATTGATTGACAGCTCTGGATTAAGCGTCTAAATTTGGAGCTCTAATGTTTAAGCGAGCGCCTCCGTGGACCTACAGATGTTCTCTCCTCTTCTTTGTTCTGGATTTATTAGGATTTTCTGTGTTTGACATCCTTGTGTTTGCCTCAGCTCTTTCACAGAAGGCAGAGCAGTGAGATGGCTTATATCAGCTTCCTCATACTGACCTCCCTGTGTATTGCGGGCCGAGAGGCCCTCAGCATATCTGACTGTGGAGCATTCGCCAGACGACCCGGTGAGATGGCTTTGACCTTCAATCACTTGTATTTATTTTGGACAAGAGGGGTTGTATTGAATTTAGTTCAGACGTAGACCTTTTGGGAGATGATATTGATTTGACTTTACTTTAGATATTTGTTCAGCAGGAATGAAAGAGTATTAATTGGTTAATGTGTTTACAGAACAGACATAGAGGAATTAACTTTAAACTTTAGAGTCCTGACTGTAGTCCCTGTGCAAATATTTAGTGTTGTTTTGCAGATGTATCATTTTTAATACTCTGTATGACATTGCATGGTTTTATTTTATAATGTGATATATATTTATCATGCAATTCTGCCATTTAAATGTGCATCCTGAACTAGATTTACAGTGGTATAATTCAAAGAAAATCACATAATAATCCTTTAATAACAGTGCAATTTTCTCACCATCAGAATACACTGATATCTCTGTGGTGTGCGGCACATCTGCCATTGACCTGGCCATTCAAATCTGTCCGGTTGTCTACACCGGATACAACGCGAGCTTATTGATCCTCAATCGTATCAAGGACAATGTGGACTGTCAGGGGACGCTGGACACGTCAGTGGCTCCTCCTGTGGTGAGATTCAGCTTCCCCATCAGAGAGGGGAACGCCTGTGGGAGCAACTTCTTGGTGAGTGTTACACCAATTTCATGTCCTGGATTAATGTCACGAGGCAGTGTGCTCCCTAGAATTTGATAACCTTGAATAGTTAGAGCAGATTAAGGGATCTGACAGTGTATGTGGTGTGGAGTCTTTAAAGAAAAAGTAAAAAAGAGGCTGAAAAAAAGGAGAATTTGTTCCAAACATGCATGAGTCATAACTTCATGTAACAGACTTATGCAATCTAACCGGTGTGCTGTTTTCGAAAAGCCTCAGAAAGTTGCTCCAGTCTCTCTCACTGTGATTTCGTCACTGCTGCCTGCTGTGCCAGAAACGTAGGCCAACGTTTATTTTTAACTTTTTCTGAAGTAATCATGTTTCTCATGTTTGAATAATTCCTCAGACCACAAGTGCACCGGGGACAGGAATATTCTCAGACTTCTCCAACATTCAGTCGGTGAACGTCAGCGGGGTGATCCGATCCTTTGACCCCACTATCGGGACCATCACCTACAATGCAGAGCTCAAGTATTACTACTCCTGTGCTTACCCACTGGAGTATCTCATTAACAACACCCAGGTGGACGTGTAAGTTTGAAGAATCTGGGTTACAAAACACATTAAGACTTCTGAGATTTCACCAGGTGTGATCTCATCCTTTTCTTCCTCCTAGGTCTTCTTCCTCCATTGCGCTGAAGGACAACAATGGGAGCTTCATCAGCACCCTCAGCATGGCCTTATACAAGGTGCCACATGACACCCCGATTACATATTACCCATGCTCTTATTTCCGCCTGGCACAGACTCAGACTGTCACTCACAGGGAGATTCATCTTATGTAATATTGTATATATTTCTTTTCTTTTCTTCTCTGTCCCTGCCAGGATGAAAACTACTCCAAGCCCCTTGTTGTTCCTCCTCTGGGCATCGAACTGAGAACAAATATCTATGTGCAGGTGGTGGCATCCAATCTGACATCCCAGTAAGAACTGTATACATTACATAGTATCATACCTGCAGCTGTATGTCTGGCACAAACCTAGATTTGTGTACATCAAACTCCTGCATATGACACTTAAGGAAAGGTGTAATGTTACTCATGCATTCAACATAGAGGTCTTTTCACTTCACCTGTTTCCATTTTTTTGTGCTTTACATCTTTACTTCAAGACACGACAGCTAAGACAATACTTACTGCTAATATGACTTTATATTTTATTTAGCTACAAGATCCAGATGTCCAAAATATGAGGATGAGATGGAATAACAACAGTCCTCTTTGAGGTGCCAATCGATTTAACAGCAAACAAAGACTGAGTACAGTTACTTTCAGTCCCAGTGGTATCATTATTTTAAGTTGAACACAGACTGCAACAACAAAATGCAGTTAATTATTCTTACAATAAACAGATTAATTGCAGTTTTGACTTAAATCAAACTTTTCATCATAGGATGTCCTATATTTCTGCAAGTTAAAGTAAAGTCAAGGTTAAGAGCAGAGCCTGCCCGAGGCATAAGTGAACTAAGCGCCTGATTAGGGCCCCCAAGAGCAATTTAAAAAAATAAAAAAATAATTAATTTTTTTTTTTTGCATGTATGAGTGATGCTTTCTATATGATCAAATATATATTATTGTAAAAAATAAAATAAAGTAAAAATATTTCAGTGCTGCTGCAGATGTAGGCCTATGATTCTTACTGCCGATGACACTTTTACAGTTAACACAATGCTTTATCACTTGGAATATTGTGAAAATCAAACCTAGTCTGCTCTTATAGCTGAATGAGTTACATTTTGAGATTAAAAACCATCTGTGGCAGCCTGAACATCATTCATCAGTCATTATTGGTATGTTTTTATGGCTGCATTGGTATCATTTATGTTATGTTATTACCCAGGCCACCCCCTTAAATGTGTAAAGACATGTCAGGCGCATTAAATCTATACTGTAGAAGGTGTGTGAATGATCAACAATCAATATTATTGGCAGAAATAGAGGGCCCCAAAATCTAATTTTGCTTAGGGCCCCATTGAGGCTTGGTTTCATGACTGGAAGCCTGATAGACATTTATTCAGAAGTCTCTTGTCTCTCCTGGTCTACGACGTCACAACTGTGTCTTGATCGACTGTAAATTTGAGGATTCCACCTGTGACCTGGAGTCTCTGACTCGGTGCTGGGGACCTCATTTGTTCTCCACAGGTACTTTGTCCTCCTGGACCGGTGCTACGCCTCCACCAATGCGCAACCCTCCAACTCCACCTTCTTCAACCTGTTTGTCTCGTAAGTCACACAAACACCTTCGTACATGCAAACTAATGTTACAAGTACCCTTTTTCCAGTCCGTCTAGGTCTATCTATGGGACAGTCAGCATCTTTATGTTTAAACCTTTACACATATCTACAGGTTTTCCTAAACTCAGTGCAGCACAGCTACGTCTAAGTCCAAAGGGAGCCCTAGCCTTAGTCCAGTCTCCCTGCCTTTCTATCATTAATACACTGCCTGTATGTATCCGTGTGATGTGCAAATGGGGCACTTGTGAGGTTCGCCTTTTATTGAAAGGTGCTCCATAGATCAGCTAACCACCATGCTGGAGAACGGGGACAGCCAGAAGGCGCGTTTCTACTTCCCTGCGTTCCGCTTTATCGAGCAGCAGAATGAAACCATCTCCACCTACTATCTGCACTGCATCACCCGGCTCTGTGAGCGCAGCACCTGCAGCACCTTCAAGGTAGGAAGGCGCCACATGCATATCAAGCAGAGGTGTTTAATTCTGCACAGATCACCGACTTGTGCCTCTCCTCTGTACGATTTGATCCACAGCAATGCAACAGGAAGAGGAGGAGTGTGGAGACCACAGTGGTCCAGGAGAGCATCACTGAGCCGTCTGTGCTCACAGTGGCCATAAGGGCCAAGACAGAAACCCGTACGTCACCTTTGAACCTTATCATATCATGAAATCAGACAAAACACACACTTAAAATACCTTTAGGTGGATTGTATTCAAGGGATAATCCGGCGTAAAATTAATTTAGGGTCAAACACACCATAACACCAAGTTAGACACCCTCCTTGAGAGATGAATGTTGCTGACCACTTGCTTTTCTTGTTAAACCAACTTTAGTAACGACCGCACGATAGCAATACACAGCAGTCTAAGAAACCACACACAAACCTCAATCAAAAAGCCACTCTATAGCTACAAATAATGCTCAGAACAGCACCTAACTTCATCAACAGTACATATAGGGTCCTAGCCATAGTACTAACCACCAAACATCCTTTTAACTCTGCCTGATTACTTTAGCAAAGTGACTAAACACAACTCACCCACTCTCTTCCAGCAGCCGCTTGTTTGTACGTAGACCTAAGGTGAGTCCATCAACTCCAGGGGGGTTATGCAGCTCAAGGAAGAACATTTATGATCATTTCAAATGCAATCAGACCAAGACACTAAGGTAGATGAACTACTGCGTCTGTGGTGCAAAATGATTAATATGGTGACTATTACTTCGAGGAAATGATAAAGAAATTATCATAAATGTTCTTCCTTGAGCTGCGTCACCCCACTGTAGTCCATAATGGACTGGCCTGAGGTCTCTCTAGAAACAAGCGGCTGCTGGAAGAGAGTGGGTGAGTTGTGTTTAGTCTCTTTGCTAAAGAAATTAGGCAAAGCTAAAAAGATGTTTGGTGGCTAGTACTATGGCTGGGACCCTATATGTACTGTTGATGAAGTTAGGTGCTGTTCTGAGCATTATTTGTGGCTATAGAGTGGCGTCTTAGTTGAGGTTTGTTTATGGCTCCTCAGACTGCTGTGTATTGCTATCGTGCGCTTGTTACTTAAGTTGATATAACTAGAGAAGCAAGCGGTCAGCAACATTTATTTCTCGAGGGGGTGTCTAACTCGGTGTTATGGTGTGTTTGACCTTAAATTAATTTTATGCCGGAATATCCCTTTAATGCTTCTCAAAGGTCCATCTCTTTTTTGCTGAGAGTTAGATAAGATAATCAAAACTATTCTCAAGACGCTACAGCTAGCAGCCAGTCAGCATAGTTTCATATGAAGATTGAAAATAGGGGGGAAAGATGACGCACATTACACAGTAAATATGCAGGTGCATTACTCATCAAATCAAGTCAAGCAGCTGCAGCGAAAGCCAAGAGCTATTTTGGTGCTTGTGTTGGTATAAAAATAAAAATATGTTGTTTTCTCCACTTATTTTTAGTGGATGATCCAACTGAGAAGTCAGACATTCAACATTCATTTTGTGCTAATCCAGACTCGCTGCCCTCCAGAAACAAGTCTGAAAGTTTGTCAGTATTAGTAGCAGCGATCAGCCTGTAACAACGCACTCAAAGTTAGTTGGTGCATATAAGCAACACAATAAGTCTACAGATAGAGCTTGCACAGTTGAATCTGTTTGATAGATTTTATTGCACAATACAAGACTGAGGTTTTCTCAAAGTATTATTAAAAGTGTAACATGCTGTCTCAAACTTTGATTTTACGGTGACAAAGTTTGCTGTGATAAAAACAGCTTAGATACAAAGACGAATAAAGAATTAGAGTAATTTGCAGAAAAAAAATGATAGTATTCAAACTTCTGAGTTCGATAATTTTAATCTTAAATTTTAATGCAGCACCTTTTTAGTTGTTTTGTATGTGTGTTGTCTGGTATCAGAAAAACAAATCGCACAGTTTTCAGCATTATTGTCCCCCTCTATTTCCCTCTCTTTCTCTTCATATTGATAAGCTTTTTGGTGAGTGTATTGTTTCGGGATATAACTTCTCTAAAATGACACTCTGGCTCTGTTTTTGTGCTTCTTGCAGCCATTCTCTCCAAAGAAGAGGGTGAGTATGTCACTTATTTCCTTGACAGCTATGCGAACAGCCATACTTTTTATACTAATTAGGTTCTCCCAACATGAAAAGAATTAATTATCTGTAACATGTCACAGTGTCTTCTGTTGTCTGCTGTAATTAAGCGTCTCGTAATGCTGTAACTCTCATTTGTGCACAGCGCTGTCTGGTGGCCAGTCTGAGGGCAGGCGGGCGTCTGTTGGTCTGGGAATTGCTGTGGCTGTCCTCATTGTGATAGGGGTGGCAGCCATTTTGATGGCGGCATCTTTTTATAGAAAACTGAAGCGGCTAAGCTAGCATCAGCCCAATAAATGATGAGGAGAGGTCAGCACAGGCTAACTGATGTAATGAGTTTGACAGGGTGACATTCACATACTGGTGGAGGTGCATTATGTATGTATGTAGGACTCCTGTGTACTGAATCAAATTATTGATTGGAGCACTTAATGTTTCTTTCCAATCCCTCAGGGACTGTTAGCTGTATGGGAGGTGATGTCTGAATAAAGCACCTTTCATAATGGCATGGTAATAAGGAAGGAAAGAGAAGCAAAGATGGGATTAGACTCATTTCACTGGGATCGGAAGGAAATAGTTTGACATTTTTTAAATAAATGCAACTCTTTGTCTCTCTCCAGACACATTGAGAGAAAAAGTCACACTAAAGAAAAAGCACTTTTTCCATTTTATTCTTTATATTTCACAAATTAAACAACACGGGAAGCTTTAAAAATGCTGGTTGGTGGCTTCTTCTGCAAGTAGATTAGCTAAACTGGCTCAGCTTCAATAAAATAATGGCATCTACCATGTCTTGTCAAAATAGGAATTAATTATATTCCCCTTAATATCTATCTTTTCTTTTAATTAACAGACAAGATAGAGAAAAAGACAGTGGAAATCAATTCAACTTCTTCCATGTTTGTCTCATATTAAACTGGATTTTACCAACCGTGACTCATTATTCTCTGATTTAAGTACTTCATTCGACACCTGTCACATGTTTAAATATGTGTACCTGTGTGTGTGAATCATGTACATAAATTACAGATCGCTGATTGTAACCAGTAAACAGTTTCTGCTGACTTTTGATGGCCGTGCTGACTTGTTGCATGTTAAATGTAGAAGACGCATGTGTAATAAATTAAATACTAGATGCAGACTGAGTTCTCCATCACCCTGCACTCTGTCGGTGGTCACACAGACTACACGGATTCATTTTTAAAGCTTGTAAGAGAACGTGCGGGTAAATTTAGTTATTTATTTGCAGGATGAGTTTGTGTAAAGGGTGAATCCAAGCCTGTGTTCTATCAGGGGAACTCACATAGTTTAATACTTGAAATAATGTATAATTCACTGTGGCATCTGTTCTGAAAAAAGCTTTTGTGTTTCAGCAAAGTTTTGAACGCTGCTGTGTAAATTTGTTTTTCATGTCAAGCATGCATGATTATCGTAACTATTAAAGCTTGCAAGATATGAAACAAGAGGTCGTGTCTTCCAACAGCAGACACTCACCTGCAGTCCAGCACATGGAGTCAACCACAGTCCAGTGTTTCATAGTCCACATGCAACAGTTTGTAATACACAAGAGGGCTCTGGCTATCCGCAGTTGTGTCTGAAACGTACAGAAAATGAAAAGGATTTATTCATCAGGCCTTGAAAAGTGACACACATGCTTCGTGCTGTTTTTATTACTGCAGGAATAGAGATTGCACAAGAAGTAGAGCTTTTCTAAAAAATGAATATTGGTATTTCAAATTCGTACTTTCTGGAGGTTCCTTCGGCGTCACACTTGATGTGCTTTGTTTTGGATAAAAGAGAGTCTGTGTGGAGGCTTGTGGAGTGATGTTTTTGTAATGATCCTCCACTAGAGGGTGTGTAATCACCATTTTCTTTAATGTCAGTCTTTTGAGGGCAGCTTTTACAGTAGAGATTTTTAGGTTTAGTTGATCACAGAGCCATCAAAAAAATAGTTTCACACACAGGAATGAAGGGAACAAGAACAGCAACTAAAACCACAAGTCAGTTAAGATGACTTTTTTTTTTTCTTTTCGTTGTTCACAAGCTTATTTTCCCTCCTATGTCATTATTCTGGGGGCAGGAAAGGTCACAGTGTGCGCATATTTCCAGCTCACTCGAAGGTAAGATTGATGGTTTTCTGAGTGACCCAGTGAGGAGCGAGATGTATTCTCCTGTACGCCATAAAAGGAACAAGTAAAGCAATCAACCGGCTTGACAAGTGATCTAATTACGGGTCCCTGTATTGTTAAGTAGGCCATGACAAACTCCGTGAGAAGACGACCCACTTTGAAATGGGAGGGGGATAAATCAGCTGTGCGGGAAGGTGGCGGCCCATTAAGACCGCCATAACTGTATGTGCAGGATAAATCCCCCTTTTATGAGTTCTCTGTAATTTAATTAAACCAACAGGGATAAAACGCATGCTCTGTCGCTCTCTAATGGTGTGGACATTAACCTTTGGATCCAGCTGCTTTGCCCTCTTTAATGTTAATAGCCATGGGGGAGCAGAATAAGGAATAATTTACAATGCTAATGCTGCTCTTTACAGTGCATCATTTACTGTCTATAACTATATTTAAACACGACTCTTGTTATTATGCATACTCGTGAGGAGTATTTGCATTGCTCCCATCAAATTTTTGTTTTCCATCATCTGTAGAAGACGTCAGAGGGAAACTGTGCACTTTCCAAACTCCAGATTTTCAGTCTGTGTAGCGCTCAGCTGAAGGAATAATTGTCCTGTCATTTCAATTCTAATTAATATGTATATGAGTCTGTCTGCTGGCAATACTTTAAGTTTAGTAGACAGCACAATCATGAAAAATTGATGGACCTGTTGTAATTTGGGGCAGGCATATGGACGTGAAGACTGTGAATGTGATGACTTTGAATAAACAGTGTCAGAGTCGAGCTAATGGGCTGGTGTGATGTGCTAATGTGCCGGGACGGGTCCGGTGCTGGTAAATGCAGGGAAACTCAACAAAGGTAGCACTCTGCTGGACTGCTGAGCAGGCGAAGGGAGCTGGGAGGTCCACCTGTTCCATTAACCTCTGGTAATGAGACAGTGAAGCTGGGAGACTGTGGGCAAAGTGTAATGTCATGTTCACGTCATCATATCAGAGGAAGCAGAAGAGGAGCTAATAAGACGCCTTTTCTTCGCCGCGTCCTACACATGCTTAGGGAGAGTGAGACATTGAAGGTGATATGATGACTGAGTTTGACTGAGCTGTAGTGGTTCTTATGAAACTTCTCAGGCATTGAGAATGCTTGTGTTCATTACGGGGAAAATTAGCTCAGGCTTTATTGCAGATCGATGAGAGTAATGAGTGGCATTGGTTAGTTTATTTACTTCAAAAGACTCTCTGTAAATAACTCTAATTCCTTGTCCAATGGCATGAATGTGAATAAGTGCATTTTTCTTTGACATCAGCTCAGTTAGGATTACTGTTCCACAGATTCACAAACAACCTTAAAGGGATATTCCAGCGTAAAAATTAAGTTAGGGTCAAACACACCGTAACACCGAGTTAGACACCCCCCTCGAGAGATGAATGTTGCTGCGGTTTGCCTCTCTACTTAAACCAACCTTAGAAACGACCGCACGATAGCAATACACAGTGGTCTGTGGAGCCACACACAAACCTCAACCAAAACGCCACTCTATAGCCACAAATAATGCTCAGAACAGCACCTAACTTCATCTACAGTACATATATGGTCCTAGCCACAGCACTAGCCACTAAACATCTTTTTAACTTTGCCTGATTTCTTTCGCAAAGAGATTAAACACAACTCACCTACTCTCTTCCAGCAGCCGCTTGTTCGCACGTAGACCTCAAGCCAGTCAATTACAGACTGCTGTGGGGTTACGCAGCACAAGGAAGAACATCTATGATCATTACTATCTCATTATCTTGGTCTGATTGCATTTCCATAAATATTCTTCCTTAAGCTGCGTCACTCTGCAGCAGTTTGTAATGGACTCACCTGAGGTCTCGTTACAAACAAGCGGCTGCTGAAAGAGAGTAGGTGAGTTGTGTTTAGTCTCTTTGCTATAGAAATCAGGCAAAGTTAAAAAGATGTTTGGTGGCTGGTGCTATGGCTGAGACCCTATATGTACTGTTGATGAAGTTAGGTGCTGTTCTGAGCATTATATGCGGCTATAGAGTAGTGTTTTCCTCGAGTGCATGGCTCTCTGTATATCGTGCAGTCATTACTAAAGTTGGTATAACTAGAGAAGCAAGCGGTCGGCATCATTCGTCTAACTCTTTATTAATTTTATGCCAGAGTATCCCTTTAATTACCGGTATGCAAAGTTTGAATGACGAGAATCCAATAAAGAAAGCCAATGAGCACATTTCCCTAACAAAAGCTTCACTGTCCAGATTTAAAAACCTGACGTGGGGAAATCTGGAGCCTGCCAAAAAAAAAAAAAAAAAGTTCCCTAATATCGTGCCTGCTATCTCAAAACTTGACAAGCTATCCCCAGCCAGCAGCTGGTGTTTGTGTGATACAATATGAATGCAGCATATGCCCAAGTGTAGGTACAGCATCAGTTCAGTCAGTGTATGTGGTGGAGTGTGTGAGTAAGAGCTGGTCCAATTAGTGCCGAGAGTGGGAGTGGACAGGGGTGAATGTAGAACACCAGAAACATACGGTGAAGCCTCCAGAGGCTTTTGCTGGATATATTTAATTGACTGTAAATGTCTGACAGAGGGAAGATTATCTCCCATCATTGATTGCTGCACTGTGTACAACAAAGAGACGAATCCAAGAGAAAGTCATGGAGATAGTGTGATTGGCATGTAGCTTGAAGCAGAATGTGTTATGTGTGAAATTTGAGAACTTGAACCTCCAATTAGCATTCCTTCTTTTGTAAGTAAATCAGTTCCCATGGAGATTCAGAGTCAGACTTAAAACTCCAAGAAGAAAAACTTGAGTGGTATGATTTAAAGGATATAAAGTGAACTTGGAGCCTATCGGATTCCAGCGGGTTCAGCTCAGTTAAATGCCACGAGTTGTATCGGTTGAGCCGAGAGAGGCAAAACAAGCAATAAACAATTTTATTCAAAAACCGTGTTCCGTGCTTTTAACACACTTCTTGGCCCTAAATAAGTGCAAGCAGCTTGTGTGGTTGCAAAAATTAGCACTACATTTGGCAGAAGACGATGACGCAGAGCTGTTTGTAATCTGAACAGTCTTTTACAGTTAATATCACTGTAACGTTGTTTTTTTCTTTTTGTTGTTGGGAAAGGAAATTTTGCATCACCTCATGTTCATCTTTTGAAATGAAGAGCTGTACTGTAAAACAAAATACAAGCGTGACATTTCATGATTGATGATTGAATAAAAAAAAAGGATTGGTGATTATGTGCAATTATGGTAGGCTGAACAGCACTTTGTACTCCATTAAAGATATTCCCTCATCATGCCAATAACTAATCAGCTTATTATATATCCTCATCTCTTACACAGATGACATGATCCTTCATCAATACAAGCACCTACTCTGGTCCATTTCTAATCCATCCCCAAACAATGATTTATCCTTAGATTTATTTACATTTGTCCCAAATAAGTATGTATTAGGGCTGTCATGATATCAAATTTTTACTTTACAATAAATGTGGCCAAAACTTTTTCAAAATTTTTGCAATATTTTTGAAAAATTTGAACATTGCGATTATCAGTCAAATTGAGTAGAGACAAAACAAAGCAGGGAAATCATATTACTTTATCAATCTTACTGATTTAATCACTCCTCATCATCCATTTCTACTGAGATAAAATGAATTCAGGTTGCTTAATTTCCCTTGTGGTCAAACTGCTTTTATTTTGAAGTATGAACGGCTTCCTGAAGATTGTGAGTTTCCAAACTGAATAAAAACAATCAATCCAGGGGTTAGAAAGATGGATGGGTAACTTGAAAGGACAC